CTCTCTCTCTCTCTCTCTCTCTCTCTCTCTCTCTCTCTCTCTCTCTCTCTCCCTCTACGTTCCTGTGTATGTGTGTATGTCTCTGTCTTTCACTTTAACAAGCGACCATTTCCATGTAAACATTATTGTATGGTTTACTTTAGTTATCATCATCATTATCATTAAATCATAAAGTTCTTATACTCGTTCAAGTAACTATTTTTGAAATATTCCCACTTCGTGGGTGGTTGGCAGGTACTCCGATGTGGTTTGTTTCTTCTGTCCTATCAAACATGTATCGTCTTTATCCCCTCCCCCTTCTTTGTTTGTGTTTGTTACTCTCTTGTAATATCTGACCGTCGGCATTTAAATGACGCAATTGTATAGCAAATGCCGTAAAACAGCGGGTGGTGGAAGGGCGCAAGTGGTAGGTCCTACTTTTTTGCTTTTCCTCTGTTGTTTCTGTCTGTCCGTCTAACATATATTCTCTGCACTAAATTGAATGGCCATTATTGTGTCGATGAGCTTCTATTTACTCAAACAATCAAACACTTACTAAAGCGCATGTCTAAAAGTTTTTGCTATTATTTTTTTTTGGTACTATTATAATTATTATTTTAAATTATTATTATTATTTTTTAAAATTATCGTTATTATTATTATTGTTGTTGTTATCATCATTATTATTATTGTTGTTATTGTTATTATTATTAACACCGTATTTATATTTATTATTGTCATTGTTATTATTATTATTATTACTCTATTATTAGTAGTAGATCTTCTACTACTATTATTATTGTTATTATTATTATTATTATTAGTAGTAGTAGTAGTAATAGTATGTATCATTGTTATCATGATTATTCAAATGTCTGCCTCCCATTTCCCCCTGGCCAGGACCACGCCCCCGGCTTCGTGTCCTCCGCTGATGCCCTGAAGGCCAAGGGCGTGAAGGACATCGTCTGTGTCTCCGTCAACGACCCCTTCGTCATGGCGGCCTGGGCCAAGTCTGTGGATCCCGACAACAAGGTAAGTGGTTGGGGATTTGTTTGTCTGTCTGTCTGTCTGTCTGTCTGTCTGTCTGTCTGTCTGTCTGTCTGTCTGTCTGTCTGTCTGTCTGTCTGTCTGTCTGTCAACGACCCCTTTGTCTTGGCGGCCTGGGCCAAGTCTGTGGATCCCGACAACAAGGTTAATGGTTGGAGATTTGTTTGTTTGTCTTGACTGTTTGTTAATTGTCTGTGTGTTTATTTTGTGTGTGTGCGTGTGTGTGTTTGCGCATGTGTGTGTGTGTGTTTGCGCGTGTTTATGTGCGCGTGTGTGTGTGTGTGTTTGTGTGTGTGTGTCTGTCTGCTTGCTTTCTGTTTGTGGGTATGTCTGTCTGTACGTCTGTCTGTCTGTCTGTCAACAACCCTTTTGTCATGGTGGCTTGGGCCAAGTCTGTCTTTCCCAACAAGGTAAGTGGTTGGGGGAATTGTTTGTTTGTTTATCCCTTTATCTGTCTGTCTGTCTGTCTGTCTGTCTGTCTGTCTGTCTGTCTGTCGGTGTCTCCGTCAACGACGCCTTTGTCATGGCGGCATGGTTAGGGATTAGTTTTTCTATGTGTTTGCTCTCTCTCTCTCTCTCTCTCTCTCTCTCTCTCTCTCTCTCTCTCTCTCTCTCTCTCTTTCTCTCTCTCTCTCGCTCGCTCGCTCTTTCTCTCTCTCTCTCTCTCTCTCTCTCTTTCTCTCTCTCTCTCTCTCGCTCGCTCGCTCTTTCTCTCTCTCTCTCTCTCTCTCTCTCTCTCTCTCTCTCTCTCTCTCTCTCTCTCTCTCTCTCTCTCTCTCTCTCTCTCTCTCTCTCTCTCTCTCTCTCTGTGTTTGGTCTGTTTGTTCTGTGTGTGTGGTGTGTCTGTCTGCTATCATAATGAGCCATTCAATCTTCTTTGTATGAACTCATGGACGTAGTGCTGATCATAGTGAGGTTTCTGTCTGAGATAGGGATATCGGTTGTTACTTAATTTGGCTGGAGGGGGAGGGGATGG